GAATTTTCATACCACTGTAATCGAATATTGATTGAGACTTAGAACCTTTATATAGACCTTTATTTTTCAATTTAATTGATGTTATGGAATAAACAAACTCAGGATTATTATGTGATGTTGCTGGACGGATAAGTGTTGGATCCAGGAAACTTGCAGTAGAAACCCCTGGGCATCTTGCAGGAGTAAGGACATAGCTCACCACACAGAGTCCCCCCCCTTACTCCTACCCTCCCCCCAGGTGTGTTCCTTGTGCTGCTCCAGCCAAGTGGCTGTTGTCATATCAGCACTGAAACAAAAGCTTACTGAACAAAGGATTCTTTACATAGTAAGCATTTTCATAAAGATTTAAAACTGGATACCTTAACCATTTGCTCACTTGTCGACCAATTTAGATAAATTTTTATTCACACATAAAAATATAGTGAACATCCACTAGGTACTAGTCTTTGGGAAGGAAGGCCATTGAGGCAAAAGCATAGTTTGGGCTTTCAAGGAATTTAGGATCTCCTAAGGGAGCATTATCTGCAGTTTGGGAGCAATCCCATGTGGTGATGGGAGTGGCGGCAGCAGAGAGATGGATCAGCTGAGCCTCAAGGATCGGAACATTCCTAGGAGGCGCCTTCCAGGCTGTGGGGAAATTGCTCACGTATTCAGGGAACTGGGAGTAACCCGGGTGTGGCTGGAGTGTGAGGTGTGGTAGGAGGAGAGGCTGATCCTCGGAGCAGAACAGGTTTTATCCAGGGCCAGTGCCTGAGCAGTCAGAGATTCTGCAGATCTGTCCCAGTCCTGCCACTGTCCTTGCCCTTTTTCAAAGTGGCTTTAAGGGAGGGGGAATGGTAAGCAGAATGTCTACCTGAGACTGTCTTTGCACGTTAAATAGCCAGAATGTCCAACTTCAGGTCCTACTTTTAACTGTCTGTGCCTTAAAACCTCACCCCAAACCTCTTTCCCTCATTTGAGGGGCTGTCATATGAGGGGCTGTCACAATGAGCCCTGGCTCGCCATCTCAAAGGCAGGCAACACCTGGGCCCAAGCACCTGGCGCAGGGAGGAGTAGCGGGTGGAGGGCATAAAGATGAGGTTGATACTTCACTTCATTGCCACCTAATCCACAGACTGATAAGGGGACAGACAGGGCTCCGCTTCCCAGGCTTTACCAGAGGAGAGCTCTTGCACATGACAGAGTCACTTCCCAGTCCAAGCTATGAGTTCATCTAACCAGCCAGCCCTGGAGGCAGGTGCAGCCGATCTGCCTGGCTCCAGAATCCACCTCCTTCCCTCCAAACTCAGGACCCTTTCAGCAGGAGGAAACCCGGCACACACATTCTGGGAGAGGTGGGGCTCACACTGGGCCTCAAAACATGGATAGGTCTTCAGCAGGCAGAGATGCAAGTGAAGGGCATTCAAGTGAATGAACACGCAGAAGTAGGGCGTCCCAGGTGACAGCAAGGGAAATCCCACCACAGAGAAGAGGAAGCTGACAGGGAGAGACCAAAACCCAAACTCCAAGGCCTGGACCTGGACACGGGGCGGAGTCAAAAGAGTGAACAAGCATAGAACGTATTGAAATTCCCAGAATCAAATATTTCTGGGTTTGAAAATCTTATAAGGGGACTGGAGGGACCTCATCAAGTAGAACCTCAATCACATAGGGTACTCGTCACCTCTCAAGAAACCTCATAGTCCAGTTGCTTAATGAATTAATTAAATTCATTGGCCCAGCCTTGTTCTCTCAGGATTGGTTTGAATTTTCTTACATTTGTGGAAAAGGGAACAGGAAGAGGGCTCAGAATCATGGTCCCTGTATTAATTCGCGAGGGCTGCTGTAACAAGGTATCACAAAGTGAGTGACTTAAAAACAGACATTTAAGTCTCACAGTTCTGGAAACCAGAAGCCCAAGATCAAGGTGTTGGTCTGATTGGGTCATTCTGAGTACGGGGCGGGGGGAGTGGGGGGTGGGATCTGTTTCAAGCCTGATCTTTGGTGGTCCCTGACTTGTGTACATATCACCCAATCTCTACCTTCCTGTTCACATTGAGTTTTCCCTGTGTGAGTGATGGTCTCCATGTCTAAATTTCCCCTTTTTATAAAGACACAGTCATATTGGATTAAGGCCCACCCTAATGACCACATTTTAAACTTGACCACCTGCAAATAACCCTTTTTTCAAATAAGGTTACAGTCATGGGTATTGGGTGGAGGCACAGCTCAACCCATAACAGTTCCCAATTTGCTGTAGTTTCCAGTACCCTCCTTCGTGTCCCATCAACAACACAGATAAAAAATTGAAGATAGTGTTTCAGGATCCTTCCAGATACCATCCTTTGTCCACCACAGAGAGGCATCCACCCTTTGTATACTCAGTTAGACCCCTGGGTGGTGAGGGTCTCTGTGTCGAGAGATTCAGAGAGCAGCCAGGGCATCTGCCCTGCTTTCTGGGCAGACAGTGCTTGCCCCATGGGCATACGCTCTCAGGTGAGAGAAAGACCCAGCACACTGGTGTCTTCCAGACACCTGGAGAGGCAGCTCCTTATCCGTTATTACTCACAATGTCTACAAGAGTGGGCAAAAGCAGGTTTACAGTTGTTCATGTGGAAAAAGACATGGAGGTTATGATTATTACAATAGCTCACAGCTGTAAACCTACTTTTGCCCACCCCTGTGTGTGTATATGGTGGTTAACTACAGTTGAAATAGTACCTTAAAGACATTTTCCAAAATTTGTAATAGATATTGTAAAAGATTTATGATACATTAGTGAAAGAAAGCACAATATGAAAGTGTGCATATGGTTTGATTTCAAACACACACACATTTTTAACAGCTTTATTGAGATATAACTCCATATTTAAAGTCTACAGTTCATTGACTTTTACTATATTCATGAAGTTATGCAACCATCATCACAAGCAGTTGTGGAATATTTCACTACTCAAAAAAAACCCAAAAAACCCTGTACCCCTTAGCTGTCATACTCCAAACCCTCATCCTCCCTGCCCCCAGCCCTAAATATCCACTAATCTACCTTCTGTCTCTATAGTTTTTCTCTGTCCCTACATTTTATACAACTGTATGTATATTTAATTAGAAAAAAAATCGAACGGAACTGCACACTAGACAGGATGACTTTTACCAATGAATAGCAGAATTACAATTTTAATTTTCTTCCCTTTATTTTGGGTATTTTTCTAATTACACAATGAGCATGAATTGCTAATCAAAAGGGAAACATTTTATTTTTAAAATAAAGGGAACTAATCCTATTTAACTAGTCCTCATGGATTATTCTGAAAACTTGACCTAAATCATGATCTTATTTTACGGGGCAAATGTGTCCAAGTTCCAAACAACTGACTTCAAATAGCACATTTGGAGCACTGTTGTTAGGAATGGAAATGTTGCATCGCACTGGTTTGTTCTGCACTGGATTTCCTAAGACCCGGTAGCCTTGCATCCCACTCCTCAGGGTCTTCCCATCCTTAATCAGGTGATCTCTCTCAGCCTTCAACAAATTGTTGCTTGTCTCAAGTGAGAGACCCTATAATTAAACCACATCCTTTTGCCTCTTTAATAACATTGGAGACAGAGAGTATAATTCTATGAGGGGACGGGAGGAATATATAATTTAGTGTCCTTTTCCTGAGCCAGTATGAACTTCGTGCATGTAGCGTCTTGCATGCTTCAGGTGTAAAAAGTGGTCTGTTGTCTCAGCAAGTGCGTTATGTGAGCACAATGCATACTGAATCTATCTCACAGTTAGAGGCTCTTTGGATCTGTGTCTAGCATACTTGGTATTTCCAGATTCACCTTTCTTTGATGAAGACTTTACACTGGAGGGAAATAAGCTTAGCTGGGTGAGGTTCAGGAGACAAATTGGGCCTAGCCACCATCACAGAAACTCATCTGTTGTCTTAGCTAGAAACCTGGCTTCATCCTTGACTGGCCTGGTTCCTCTGTGCCTCACATCAGCTCAGTGGGACCCTAATCTTTCTGATTGGCCTCCTCTCCTTCAATCCCCACCCCAACTGCCCTGTACATTACTCATCTGGGCAAAGGCAGCAGCCTCTGAATGGTTGCCTCCTTTCTGTCCCTTCCTGAGCAGACAATGAAGTTGATCCTCCACATGCTCCAATGGTGCTTCATTATCTGACCCCCTCATCTGTCCAGTCTTGCCACCAACCAGTCCTCCCCATGTGTCCATGTTCCCACCTCAGCAGACCTGGATTCTTAACCTGGGTTCTTAACCTGGATTCCATATGTGAATGTCCTAAAATAGAATGCATAATTGTGTGTGTGTGTGGGGGGGTGCGTGCATGGGTGAATGGGGGGAGGGGTGATATTTTTCTAGGAGGACAATCTTTGGCTATCATAAAATTCTTAGAGATGATCTATGAATGCCCCAATTTAAGAACTGTATTCTGGGTGTTTGAACATGTTCTTCCCCTTTCGTGTAATAGCTCACCTTTCCACCCTGGTGGGCAGCTCCCGAGGACCATGCACACACCACCTACTTTCCTACTTGATGTCCCTTTCTTGTGGCCCCATGGCTCTGCTTACCCAGCGCTTTTCCGGTCGGGATTTCATTACTTGTTTACATACTTGCTGTCCCTTTCTGCCCTGCCTCCAGCACAATGTCCAACACAATGTCCAGTCAACTCTTAGTAAATACTGGCAGAAGAAGGAAAGGGACCAGGAATGGCACTGGGCCATTTTCTCTATGGAAAGCCCACAGTCAGTTGGGTGACGGGACATTGTTGCTAATGGCTTCCTCTCGGAGCACTGCTCCTGACTTGTGTACCCTCAAGAGGTGAACCCATGGATCTGTCTTCTTTGGTATGCTTACAGACATTTCCTCTAAGAGACTGCAGGCCCAGCTGTCAGGCATCTACATGGAGAAATCTAACTTCCATTTGCTGTGAGAATTTACTAGATGTGTAATGATTTTTAAATTACCTCTTGACAAATTTTGAGCTCTTTGTTTTTCTTCCACTCCCTTTCAGATTGATGCACTGAGTAAACGAAGCAAAGAAGCTGAGGCAGCCTTCTTGAATGTCTACAAAAGATTGATTGATGTTCCAGGTAAGACCATGCACTGATAACCCCCCCAGTGGGCGTTGTGTCTGGAGAATTGGTGGGTTTCGGGCTTATTCTTCTCAGCTTTCCTTAGAGAAATACACCATCAATGGCAAGAAACCAATGAGTTCTGGGAATTTTCCAAAACCCAAACTTTGGGTAGGTATGGAAATTAGATGCACTTGTGTTAAAGTCATCATATAACCTCTAGTGAATACTTTTGCAAATACGGAAAGTCAAATCAGTGGAACCACCTTTAGTTTAAAATGCTGCACAATTTACAAGAAGAAATAGAACCTGTGGAGTGCCGTGCAGACACCGTGGATGTTCGTGTTTCTGGACTGGTTGATTCCACATTCAGGAATTGCCCTAATAGGGTACCTCAAATACCTCACTCCCCTCCCAGGTCATCCAGAGGTGACAAAAATGTCACCTCTGGTCACATTTTTCATTTAAAGTTTATAGCCAAGGGCAAGTAGCCCAATTAGCTACAACCAAGAACTGCATGTGGATTACTGACATGACTAGAACTACTTTAACAAAGCAAAACAGCTACAGGTCTCCTTTATATCTGAAATTGCATTTTAATTCAGGTCTCCTGTGGGCTTTGCTGTACCATTTGGGAGCCGGGATTAAAAGAGGTCACCCCAAGCAAGGGGCAGCAGAAAGCACTTTGGACAACATTCTCTTGCCAGAGCCTTGTTGTAAGGTCTTTGTCACATTCCTTTTCCTGTTTGGACCTCAGTTTTCTCATCTTTGAAATGGAATAGTGTAAAGGAACAGCCTCATGGTAGAGAATGGTTTTCTTTGTTCTAAATAAATTTTTGCTGTCAATGGAGCTTATCCAGCACTTAGTTCCAAATTCTGGCTTTTTTACTTTCTGCAAGAGTTTGTAACCAACTGGGGGTTCCCATGAAAAGGCTTCTTCACAGCAAACGGGTCATTGGATGCCCATGGTGTGGCCTTTTCTCAGGTACTGGCACCTCAGTGGTCCCACTGGCATGATCTTATGCAAATACAAGTTTTATGTTGATGACTTAGTTGAAAGGAGTCTGGCTTGTTTCATCTTTGCCAAAGACCAGAGCCTTTTGCTGCTGTTTTCTAAATAACCTCCTTTTTTAAAGTCCAGCTTTTACTTAGGTTTTTCCTTAGTGAAGTTTCTCAGATGGGCAGCCACTTTAACAAAGTGTTAGGTTTCTTTTTTCTGCCATTATTTTCCATCCTAATTTCTCATAGAAAAAAATGAGAACATATTTTTCACCAAGGATCTCCACCTGAGCAGACCTTCTTCATGTCCGAATCTTATTTTTATAGAATTTTTATTATACTCTGGCCACATATTTACATTCTGCTTTTTTCACTTAATGCTATACTATCAGCATTTTTCCCATTGGTGATATTCTTTGTAATTATCATCTTTGGCTGCAATTTCAACTTAAGACGATGGAAGCAAATAATGTTCCATGTTTTCTGTAATAAAAGTCAATCAAGTCCATCTGCATGCCACATAGATCACTTTTACCCACATCCAGGTATTTCTTTCTTACACCTGCTGTGGTCTGACAGTTCTCACAACTTCCTTGAGAAGCATGAGGGGAGCTGGGAGCACTCTACCTGTGTTTTGAAGTCCTGCTGTTCAGATGAAGTAATCTTGCGGCTGAGCTTTACAGGAAGGGCTTGGTCAATAGCGTTGCATTTACTGACAGTCACACAGTTGTGGGGAGTCAGATACCTTAACTGTCTGTGCTTCAGTCCCACCAAACCCAGAAATATTGGTGGGGTGCATTAAGTCTTCTAGTTTCAAGAAACATCAACTCACACTATTTCAGAAAACTGCAGGAAGCTCTTGGGAATAATGAGATGGTGTTTCAGTTTTTTTGCCACGTGGCCCAGCTCCAGGAGCCAGGAAGAGCCAACCAGCCACCCCAGGAAGAGGCAGAGCCAGAGTCCCAGGCCTTGGAGACTGGCACAGTAACCTGACTGAACCAGTCCCCACTTGCCACCTCTTCCAGAAATTTTATTTATTTGTGAGTTTTCTTGTTTTTTAATCTGCTGGTCCTACTCGAATGAAAGCTCCATGAGGAAAGCCTGTGTTTTCCCTCTATGGTATGTCAGACCTCTGAAGCAGGGTCTGGCATACCACAGTTGTGACATGTTGAAGGACACAATGAGTCCATCAACCCAGGGCCACACTGGAGTCCTCCAGAGCCGAATTGGCAAAAGGTCACATCAATAGCTCTAAAAGCTTTATCTCTGGCCTGTTCTCCCTTTTGCATGGCAGCTTGCATACCCAGCAACCTCCTGGACACATACCTAGCCTCCTGGGGTGGCTGATGGGTACCCGAAAACTACCCAGTGTGTCCAGAGGAAACCTTACTGAGTTCCTTCTCTTGGGGAGCTGCACGTGCCAATCACTGAGTCACCAAGTCCCAGCCATTCTTCCTTCCGAATGTTCTCGACTCCATCCACTTCTCTCCATCCCAACTTCTGCCCTCCACTTGCAGTTCAGGCCCCCTCATGTCTACAGTATTATGACCCCAGGCTTCGTGCTTGCAGGGTTGCCTCCTTCTAGCCCATTCTCCACACAGCCGGCAAGCCAGGCCCCTTCTCAGCTCAAGTCATCTCACTCCCGAGGTGAACTTGTTGAGACACTGCTTCCTGACCTCCAGGTTTGGCTCAGGTGTGCCCTTCTCACACACACATGCCCCGCTCCCAGCAGCCTTTGTTTCCTGTTACAACTACTTGGGTCTTAGCTGTTTTCCTTTCTGGCTGGGCAGAGTGACTGGAGCAATATGGTCCCTAATTATTTGTTTAGTGTCTACCCCAGTGCCTGCCATGTAGCAGAAACTCCATAAGTGTTTGTCAAATGAATTAATGGATCAAATTATTTCTTCAAATGTTTTTTGAGGCTTTTTTGGTGTCAGGCTTTAATTGTGAAATTGACACTTTGAACCGAGGGAGAGCACGCTGGAGCATTCTAATGACCTCAATGGCAAGAGAACAGAATGTATCTTTCCTTGACTTGAGGCTGTATAATAATTCTTTGAACTCTCATTTTGCTTCATGTCACTCTATGAAGATTTACCTGCCTGCACAGACATTTATATGACACTTAGCATTTGGGGTTCATCAGAACAGCATGTGCACTTCAGAGGCCTTGTCTTTGTGGCTGGCACTGACATCCAAAAGCTGTGTTTGGTTCAGTAGCTGTCCTGATGGCATCCCAAGCTTTATACACTCAACACAAAGCATGGAATCTCCCTCCACTCCCACCCATTCCCACCTGCCTCCTCTCCTTCAGTGGTGTGACTCAGCTCTTCCCTCTTCTTCATCGTCCACAGTCAGTATTCCAAAGTTATTTTTCCTCTCAAAAGCTCCTTCTTATTAAAGACACTTAATCAACATTTAAATACACACTCATCCTGATGAGTCCCCTGAATAGTTAAACTAGTTAAGAACTGATGTATGTGTTCTTTCTCATTTGCTACCAGATTGCTCTGCATTCCCTAGTTAATTTCAGAGTATTTTAAGGTGCTTTTTATTATAAATATTCTACTACTTCAGCCAAAGCACACTCTCCTTCCACACTGCTCTGACCCTTGTTCCCTGGAACTTCTTAGTCAGCACCTTAGACACCAACCCCTTGCTGTGTCTCTGAGTTACAGCGCTAGAGCAGTGAGCAAAGCAATCAGATAACTTCCTGTTCTCACAGAGTTTAGAGTCTGGTGGGAATGTGGGCATTAAAAAGTAATTACACAAGTAATTATTGAATTTTAGGTGTGGTAAGTGCTTGGAAGGCAGAGCCTATTGGGCATAAGAATATAGAATGGGTAGGATTGGGCAGACTCAAAGGCAGTGAGCAGTGCCCTGGAGCAGTGAGCTTGTGAATAAGAAGAAGAGAGGGCAGTAAGGAGTGGCCAGACACTACATGGTCCAAGCGAAGACACTGCCAGTAGTCAGAAGTTACACCTGAGTAAAGGGCATACACCAGTGTGGTCACCCACTGCAAAGGCAGGTAGAGGCCTTATAAATTATGTGAATGGTTCTGGACTTGAACAGACAGACCATTAAAAAGTTTTAAGCAGAGCGATAACATGGTCATATCTATACAATAAAAAAGTCATCCTGACTGCAATTTGGACAACAGATTTGGAAAGAAGTCCAAGGTGATGTGGGAAGAGAGAGATGAGGTCACTAGGTTTCAGGTGGCAGGAGTGAAGTTGGAGAGAAATGGATGGATGTCAGCTATCTGTAGGAGGTAGAGAGGATGGTTGAAAAGTGACGAGGGCAGGAAGATGGCGGCCAGGTAAACACTTGTACGGGCTGCCTCCCACAATCATATCAGTGCTGCAACGGGGGATCTTACCTGAGACCTGAAAGGACAACTGTGGGGCCCCAACTGGCGCGGACACGCAGATCCACAGAAAGGTTGGATTTTGCCGGGGATAACGCGGGTGTCTGTGTCCCAACAGCGAAAGTGAAAGCGGCAGCTGCAGCAGCTGCGCTGCGGCCACTGGGGCTGCAGAGACAAAAGAACGCGCTGGGACCCCGGAAATCTGCGTCCACAGAAGCCCCCCACTATTGGGTCTGGCGTGATTCAAGAGAGTGGACGGGGGTCCCCAAGGTTGCTACTAGTGGGGTTCTCTAGGGAGCAACCCATTCTGATCCGACACGGTGGGAGAACATAGGAGTTGGAAAGCAGTCTGTTTGTAAGTGCGTGCAGACTCACCCATTGCGCACCTAGGCTGGTTCCCCTGCAACACTTCGCTTCTGATTACAAAAGAGAGATCACCCAGATTGGCTGACCCTAAGAGACAGCAGGGGAAACTGCTTTTCTGGAAACTGAGAAGCAGAGCAGGGAGAAATCAGGATTCAGCTCCGAGGCAAAAAGAAAATAAACAAACAAAAAAAACCTGTATTGAGTGCCACAGAAAAAGAAGGCTAGAGCAGCCAAAAAGGCGGGACATCAATCCACATACACTGCCACCTAGGATCTGGAGTACAAA